CGATCCAAAATACATGGGAGTGAATTTTTGACCAATCAAATAATTCCGTAGTAAATAGCAAAATCGGCTATTTACAACACCATATTCTTAAATTTAAAGTCGACAATAAGTATGCAATGGTTGCTTTCCTGATGGTCTTTTTTTTTTTTTTTGTTGGATGGTGATGTAGACTCAATTGGAGTAGAGGAAGAGCTATCTGAAGCCAGGTGGCTGGAGAGGGGGTTCAATGTGAGATGGCAAAGGAATTATAGGTTGAGACTGAGTAGGTTCTTCAGCAGATTTTGCTTGCTTCACCTTTTTGTACTGAGCATGTCTATGTGATGGCAAATTAAAATTGGAGGGTTTTTTTTTCGTCATTGTCATCTTTGATCCAAATTGATGGATTTCTCATTATGCTTTTAGTTTTAGCTCCTATTTGAGATATGAAATCGAAATGACAGATTTCACAATACACCTGGCTTTCATTGATTATGATCTTAATCTCTAATTCTCCAGTGATTATTAATTTCAACACCTTTTTTTACTGTTAGAACTTTTGCCCACAAGTCTTGATACATTCATATGATGAGAACAGAAAATATTGGGTTTGAACCATTTTAGACCATTTGCATCTTTTTCAACAAATTGTTTGGATGCTACATTAAGGTTCCAGTAATCTTCTTGTACTAGTTAGTACTTGTGGTTGATCTTTTAAAGACAATGTGAGTGGAGGAATTTGGTATAATAATGTGTGTTTTGGCATCTGTATGCTGATACCTGAAGATTGTACTACAGTAAATCAGCCATATGTAAATTTATACCAATGTAGATAGAGTTAAAATGAGCTTTAAATATAATTCAGCAATAAAGTTGTACTTATTGCAAATGATGTAACAAACTTTTACTTACCTCACATATATCATCTTTCATAATGTTTGTTATTGAACTGCCTCTTATTTGGATGGGTTGTATATGGGTCTTATATGCATATGAAGTTGCAAGGCTATTGAACTATGAGATATTCATGAGCTGTTGTCTCAGTTATTTGTTCTACTGGACAATAACAAGTGGCATCAAGGTGTATGAACTTTTTTTTTCTACAAGAGGCATCATGATTTTGTTTTTTTGTTGGGGGAATGGTGTACAGTCAGAATATATACTGTAGAAGTATCATAATTAGTAATTCTTATAATTTTCTGTAAGAAGATTTCATGTTTTTTATTTGTTGGGGAATGGTGTTTTGGTCAGAATATACTGTACATGTAGAGGGTATTAATTCTTATAAAAATATTTTTCACATTAATGGTAATACAGTCAACTCTGTTTATACTGAACAGGCTGGGATCCGGTATATGGAAAGTTTATAAGAGACTCCGGTATAAACAAAGAATTTTCATATGAAATGAACGGTGTGCAAGAATCTGTCCGTGAGATTCCGGTATATACATTTTCGGTATAGACAGAGTTGACCGATTACCAAGTGGGATATCTGCAGGTCGCACAACCTTCCATGTCGTACGAATTCGAATATTATGGGGGCTATTATGTGTTAATTCAATTCTCTATAATCTAAATCTCCACTCTCTACAATCACCTTCATTATATAGACACACACATATCCACCCATTATACACACATTTGATTAATCCCAAAGGAAACGTTACTATCAAACGTCAGTCTGCACTAGTTTATCGATTCAGTCAAACAGTACGGTACAATATGCATCGCTAGTACTAGAAACACAAGTTATGCGATTAAGGTAATTCATGCAACCCTGTTATGTCATCGTGTACTCGATACCATTGAATCATACGATTAAATTGTATTACTATTAAAGAATTGACATTGGGTGAATTTGAACTTTCGATGTAAAATCCGGGCTGAATTCAATCGCAGATAGAAAACTGAATCATGATATTGAGCAAAGATTAAAACGCATCGCACATTGAATCATACGATTAGGGTGAATCGTACCACTGAATCATACGATTAAAACGAATTGTACCATTGAATATCATACGTTAAAACAAATCGTACCATTGAATCATACGATTAAAACAAATCATACCGCTGAATCATACGATTAGAACGAGTCGTACCGTTGAATCATACGATTAAACATTGAATACAAATATTATACCACTTCTAGAACAATCCGGATGTTGAATCAGAAGCTGATACTATGTATAGTATAAATACGATGGTTAGAATTGCTCCTTTCAAACTCAAGCCATTTTAACAAGTGATCAAAAAATTATTAGAAACACTCACATCCAGACTGTATTTGACACAATCAATCGCTACCACTATTATACAATGAATCAACTTCAAGAATTCCTCACTGTTACAAAAGCCTTTCTTGCACTTCAAAGCCTTTATCTGTCTGATATGCAAATCAACCTCCAGTTTGATCTTTCTGCAATCAATATAACCAAGCTGCAAAGCATTGCAGTTGATGTAAGTGCTACTCTTTTCTTACCAGAAGAATATAAACACCTTGTCTGTGGTGTTGCAACAGGTGATGGAGCATACCTATTCAATGCAGCATCACTATTCCTAGCAGTGAATGAATCATTAAGCCTGATATTACATACAGCAACTGTCCATGAGCTTTTATCATATCCTGAATTCTACTTCCATATCCCTGTCTTTATGACAGACTGGCCATGGTCAAACATTGCTCTTGATGCTAACAATAGAAATGATCCAGACAATAATCAATATAAAAAGCTCACATCTACAAAAATGTAATAGCAGGTTTCTGTGATCCAAATGCATACTCACTCTATGGTCTTGCAAGTGCAATCTCTCATCTGATCAATTCAATTTATCCAGCAATCAAAGGTAATAGCTGAGCCCATATCACCAGCTAATCACTTTTAACCACCTATCAATATAATGTGGGTGAGAACTGGAGCTGAATTCACAACCTGGGAAATAGTGCTGTTCTGAGTACAAATCATTTTGTGCCTGCATTTGAACTATCAACTGAGATCACAGAAAACATACCAGTTCATACTGTAAAGAAGAATTGCTCATTAACACAGTCAATGTTATTACTGCTGCAGATAGACCAAATGGCAGGCTTGGCTCCTGGATGTATAAATCATTAGACAACATAACAATTGCATTGGAACAAGAAGAAGCACAACAGATCATTACTGGCAAGACTCATATACCCATTACTGGTTACATCAAATTATCCAGTGCCTCTTTCCATCAGTATTGACAAAATGCAAGAATTAGAAAATAGTTTGAAGAAAATACTTCCACTCACTGTAGTGGGTGTGTTGATAAACAAACTACAACTGTTTTTGTCCTATTTATGTTATCTATGACACAAGCAGACAGTTTCAAAGCATTTAAGAATTCAGTAAAGAAATTAAACAAAGAGTACTTCCTTGGGAGGTGTGCCACCATTGCAGTCATTCAAGGCAAGAGACATTATCATTGCATATAATAAAAAATTATAAATTAACATACATTACATCAACATCGAACAGTTGAGAAGATTACTGGTGCATTCCACATTAAAAACAGAAATTGAAAAAACATACAGAGACAATCCACTTACATATACACTTCCTTGAGAATCAGTGTTGCTGCATACATCATGCAGGGGTGTATTATGGGGCAAATGTGTGGTCTTTCAACAGCACCACCATGTCAGTTATGGAACTGAAAGGTTAGAAGCTATTCCAACACAGCACAGGAAACTGCCAAGATGTACCAAACTGCAGGCTGCACATAAGCTAAAACAAGGTAATAACAGGAATGACTATACAATAGGGGAGTGGTTTCATTCAAGTATTAGCATTATTAACAAGAATGAAAAACTAAATATGCTGAGGATAATGGGAGAAGCTGAGAAAAACAGAAAGTTGCATGGATGCCAGTGATGGTGGATCCATTTATACAACCTAAATTATTACCATTATTATGCAGCATCCAATCCAGGAGTCTTCTTGGACTACACAAGTCTGATGACAAAGGACATTTACAAACTCCTCAGAGAAAAACCATTTGTAAGCATTGATATTTCTGCCATAATGTCTAAGCAATTGTAATAGTAATTATTTTTTCAGTGGCAAAATGCATTGGACTATTGCTCTCACTATCTTATTAGAATTAGATTTGGCTTGAAGAAGGCTAACAACTACCCAGTTCTCAATGAAAACCTCATGCAATTCAAAAAAAGAGGCTGATTATGATGTAGATGCTCTGCCTGTCCTTGCCATAATTTGTGCAATTGGGGTATTCTGCAAGCTGTATTGTTGGAGTATGACAAAGAATGCAATTATAATTAGTGGAGATGAATGAGATCCTCAAAAGGTAGTTGTTTTGTTTGTGTTATGGACATTGTCAGGCTTTCAAGATCAGGAAATTTTTATTGCCAGCAAAGTATTGATAAGAAAAATATTCTCAAATGCAATAATAAAAATTTGGTGCTGTGTCCAAGCCAGGACTACATTTTAGGGACAGATAAGGAGATAAAATGTTGGAATTGGTTATTAAATTAACAATACCTCAGTCTGGTCAATAATATCATTGATCTCAACACAATGGCATCCCTTCTAACAAGAAGGTTCAACATAAACATTAATAACACACTGACAAATGAGCTTCAGATAGAAGCAGATGATATTGATGATGGGTTGGTTGATGAGAATCAGGTCTCTGGAAATGAGGTATCAAACAGAGAATGGCACTACACAGTGTGATGCGCTGCAATCAGTGACATATTTTCTCCTCTATTTCTGCATTCCTCCAACAATGCCGCAGCAACATTTCAATTGGCAGTTACACAGTTAATTCAGGGTGCAGTGGTACGAGAATTTATATTATGGTAGTACAGCACCACTGCTGCACCACTGCCACACCACTGCCACACCACTGCCACACCACTGCTACTATTCGACTCTCCACTGAGTTTCTCTTCCTATCATTCGTTATCAACCATGCGCAACACTGTTCAACGGCTCTGACTTTAGGTTTACAAATTGCATTTCTATCGCATCACAGTACAAGTTATTTTCGATAACAAACAACTTTGCGGTACATTGGATTACGGATGAGGTCTTTGCAGTAGTGAAAGTGTTTTTTAGACGACTGTTTAAAGGATGTGTTAATACTACGTTAACCAGCCCACACACGTCTGCTGTTAAATATGGCTTGACTTCTAACATCAGATAATACCCAGATTCTGTGGTGGTACATACTTCCTTAACCCGTCCTAACAAAAAACTGATTGGTTTACAGACCGGGATTTATCTTTATCTATGGTAGTTCCCTGCAGGATGAAACAGCAAGTTCTAATAAACCATTATCTAGCATGGTAAACTTTCCTGTAATGAAGTAAACTGAATCTTGGGTAAATTTCTGAATGTACGTATCTTCAGTGGTAACCTTAGAGTGTATCGAAATGTGATGAAATCACTGTCAATTTTACAAGCAGCTGACCCTGTTTGAAGTATTTTATTAGAGATGTGTTGTTCACAAGTTGATATGGTATAGAGAACTGTAGATATGTTTGTTATCATGGTTGATGAATTTGACGATGAGATGTCCTGCAAAAATGTCATTATTTATATTATTTGCGCCTATATATATCTTTACATACAACAGCCTCCATCATATTAAGTGAGCCATGCACAGGTTTTATTTCAGGATGTAATACAGAAGTCATGCTCCTGCAACAAAACCTCCAGCCTGCTGGGGTAGTTGTTGGCTATAGTGAACTAAAAGCCTTAGACTGGAGTGGTTCACTATAACAGCTTCAACTGTTTCTATTTACTGAATTATTTTTATCACTGTCAGTAATGTCTGTTGATATTTCCACAATTTGAAGAAGAATATTATTATTTACTGTTGTCGTGCTGACTACTGCGGGAGAGCAGAAAGTAATTGACACTTGGGATTTAACTAGTCTCGACAGAGCATGGTGCCTCCTATTCAAGTTAAATATCTAATTTCACAGTTAGTGACCTTGTAATCGCAAGGCTTTTCACTTATGGGCTTTTTCACCATAGAATGATGCTTATCCTAGATATTGAATCGTTCTCAAGTATATCAGTGGTTATTGTCGAGGGATTATTCTGACAATCTCCCATTTGGGGTACAATGGTTGATCAATTAGATTGAATGCATTCGATAAGCTAATGATTTAATATCCTAATTCGCCACTCAGATAATTGCGAGACAAACAGTTTCTCAGATATATCAATTTAATTTAGAGAATAGGGTCTAAAGTATATGTTCAGAGTAAATGCGATACTCTTTTATTAACAATAAGATAAGGAATATAATGATCAAATTCACTAGCGAACATGAATATTGCTAACACATAACACATATAACACACCGACTCTAGCTGAAACTCCTGCTGCTTATATATCTTTCGATCGGTCTAATTGAGCTATTTTTAGTCGCTATTTCTAATATTTGATTACTATTCTTCTGGTATATGATTTAACTGCGTTTGCACCACTGCTACAGTGGTGCTGCAGTGGTGAAACAGTGGTGTGGCAGTGGTGTTGCAGTGGTGCAGCAGTGGTGTTGCAGTGGTGCGGCAGTGGTGTTGCAGTGGTGCAGCAGTGGTGTTGCAGTGGTGCAGCAGTGGTGTTGCAGTGGTGCAGCAGTGGTGTTGCAGTGGTGCAGCAGTGGTGTTGCAGTGGTGCAGCAGTGGTGTTGCAGTGGTGCAGCAGTGGTGTTGCAGTGGTGCAGCAGTGGTGTTGCAGTGGTGCAGCAGTGGTGTTGCAGTGGTGCAGCAGTGGTGTT